AGCCTTAGTTTGCAGGACACTTTGTACATCCGCAGGATGTTTTGGAGGACAGTCATTCACAGGGTTGCCATTAGTCAGAAGTTACTTGACAGCACAGCATCCTGTGGTAGCAAATTCCACATTTTATTCACTCACTGTGTAAAGAAGTATTTTCTTTTATCTATCCTGGATCTGCTGCCTATCAGCGTCATTGGTTGCCCTCAAATTCTAGGGTTTTTTTTTTGGGGGGGGGGGTGAAATACACTTTGTCAGCTCTTTCCATCCCATGCATAATTTTATAAGCCTTTATCATGTCCCCCCTTAATTGTCTCTTTTCTAAACTGAAAAGTCTCAGACTCTTCAGCATTTCCTCATTGGAAGGTGCTCCAGTCTCCTAATCATCTTGGTTATCCTCTTCTGTACTTTTTCCAGCTCTGCAATGTCCTTTTTGAGATACAGTGACGAGAACTGCACACCGTATTCCAAATGAGGGCTCCCCATAGATCTATACTTGGGTATTATGATATTGGCCTTTTTGTTTTCAGTCCCTTTCCTAATAATCCCCAACATAGGTTGCGTTCAGACTGGCAGTTTGGCCTGATATAGGCACATTTCACAAACGGATTAAATGGGCCTGGTCACACAGCCACATCTGTCAGGTGTTCCCCAGGCATACTAACCCTGTCAGAGGATGACTTGGAGCCGAGTTAAAAAGCCACCACCTCCAAAGTGGGGTTTTTATTTCCCTGCACATTCATTTCACATGGCTGGATGTCTGAACCCGGGGGAGCATGCGCAGAATGGATTTGGTAGTCTGAACCTACAGATCTGTTCTGCCGCTAGGGAGGTTTTTTTTTTAATTGCCTATATGTGCCTATGCAGCACATGCGCACTTATGCATGTGCATGAATTTTGAACTTTTTTTGCAGTGCGCTCCGTAGCTGAGGTGCTGCAATAATGTGGATACTTGACCACAGGATGTCTCCGTGCGTAACCAGCAGCAGGGTGTGCTGTGTGGCTGATATGCCCCACAACACTTTAAACCAGTTCAATTAGAGGCGGCACTGTAACAGCCCATCTGAAGGCAACCATAGATTGCCTTTTTCACTGCTGCAGCACACTGGATTCGCATCCATTGAGGTATCTACTGTGACCCCAAGATCTTTTCCCCCTCGCTTTCAGCAAGATTAGATTCCATTGGCATATACTTGAAGCTGGGATCCCCCCCCCCCCAGTGTGCATCAGCTTACACTTACAAACTTCATCTACCACTTTGGGCACTTTCACACATGCTAAATAATGCAGTTCCAATCCACTTCAGCCACCATTTGCAAGTGGATTTTGCCATTCCACACAGGCCCTTTCTGCCTTTGCCTGCCACTCCAGATTTTCTCAGTGTTCAAGTCGAGGCAATTTAAGTCCACAGCAAAATATCATCCAAATAACCTGGGGCAACAGCAGGCTGAAACTGGGCTGACCACTGAAGGGAGGGAATGTAATGCAGAATGGGGGGAAAAACGGGATTAAAAAGGTTGAATTCAATTTTAGTGCAGAATTGCTTGGAGGACACCGCAGTGAACATGGATTAAAAGGAGAGTGCCGAAAGGCCCAAAATCCGGAGTGGCAGGCAAATGCGGAAAGGACCATAGTAAAATCCAGCTGCAAAGTGGATTGAAAGTGCGTTATTTAGTGTGTGTAGAAGCGCCCATTGTTGCCCACTCACCTAATTTGTGGAAATCCTCCTGGAGAATATTCATGTTTCCAGACTCCATACATTAAGTATGTTGACTCTCAACAAATGAGGGCTGGAAGCATGAACAGCATTTACAGAAGTCTTTCTGTGCAACCAGGAGCCTGAGTTCACTCACCAAGCTGTGCCTTAATAAAAGTTGAATAATTTTGGTTTTTATTTGGGAGTCACTATTTGGGAGTATTATTCAGGTCTGTATATATTAAATGCACACCCCTACTTGACAAGTACAAGGAAATTGCAGAGATGAATCTTCTCCTCTCCCCAGCAGCCCCCTGTCCCCCCCCCCAAATTCCTTTGCTGAGGTTCAGGTTCCTCCTCAAGAAATGCCATGCAGCCATTTGCAGGACAATCAGACAAAATTGCCCTGTTTCCTTTCCTTTTTGCAAAGGAGCCTTGGCGGAGTTGTGCCCTATTTTGCCTCCCTGCCTGATGTAAATGTTTGGCTCTCTCTCTCTCTCTGTCTCTCTCTGTCTCTCTCTCTCTCTCTCTCTCTCTCTCTCTCTCTCTCTCTCTCTCCTACCTACCTACCTACCTACCTACCTACCTACCAACCATCTATATTGAAATTCTGCAATGGCCCTGGCTTGGGATTTTGTCAGTGGCTGTCCCATGCTTGGGGAATAGCCTCCCAAAAGATGTATAGGGGGGCTCCTACCCTCCTTTCCAGCAAGGCTGTAAAAGGGATGTATTCTGGGGAGTTTAGGATCAATCTGACTCTGGACAAGAAAGGGAATGTTTTACTAATTGTGAATGGAGTGATTTTATACTGTTTTTAAAATGCAATTTTAAATTTATAATGTTCCTAGTGTTCAGTTTTTTATGTTTCATAAATAGTTAATATAGTTTCTATTTACTTTTGTCATTTACCTTGGGTCCTGAGCTGTTAGGATAAAGGAGGGTTTATAAATATTTGAACTAAATACAGCTTTCATACTCAAGAATTATACTTTTAAATCTTTTTAAAAAATTGTTCTGGTTCACTAATTTTCAGGATTCAGCCATTCTTTTTGTTTGTTATTTTATATTTTCTTCTAACTTAAGACACTCCATATGGACACAAGACATACTTTTGGTTTAATTTTCTGGAATTAATAACACACATATATGCATAAATTTTAGCTCAGAACACATGGTGTCCTGCTCCAAATAGCTGTCTGTTCGATTTTTCCGTTCTAAATTTTTCAGATCTATGACTTTTAAAAGTATACCTTCATAAAAAGTTTCTCTAAGAATATACTTCTTGTACTTAGCCCTTCATGTATTAGAGCTACCTTTTCACCATCAAAACAGTAGCTGCTTCAGTCATCAATTTCTGTTCTTGTACCATGTTGAGAAAACATTATGGCTATCACATCTTCCCATGTGCTAAATGTCCTTACCCCACTCCTCTAACTTTTGCCTCTTTTCATCCTCTCTCCTTTTTCTTCTTGTATAGATTCTTGAGAAAGTATTCCCATGTGTACATTCTTATGAAATATGTTCATTCTCATGTAACACATAGGATAAAAATATGTTCTAGCCAAGTATTTCTTTTCAGGAGGGCAGCTCTAGTTAAAATCTATCCTGGAACCCTTGCACTCTCAATTTATCATGAGTTTCCCCCAGGAAGCTTGAAACTAATGTGGGTCTTCCAGCACTAACAAAAATGATTTAAAATGGAATTACCAAAGAACATTTGTGACCTCTATAATGGTAGGAATATTTCTCATCCAGCAAGAATCCAGTGTGAAGTTCCAGTATGAAAGCACCCAAAAATTGTTTTGAGTTCTTTGAAAGACCTAAGATATTTTAATGTTTTCAAGACATGCATACTGGCTGAAGCTTGGGATTTTGTTTTATTCTCCATAAAGTTCATTCTAAGCGACAAATTATCAGTGATCTTATTCAACTGATGCCTGGAATAAGAAGCCTGCATTCAGACACATCACAGTAACAGGGATTGAGAAAAATGTGCTCAAACCCTACTTGTTTCTGGGCTTGTATATCTTGCTTCTTCCTACCCCATGTCTTCTCATGGTGAGAATTATAATTAAACACTAACCCCAATTATCCATGATGCTCAAATGCAAGGACTGCATTAAATGGAATTAACCCCTCCTTCCCTAGATAATCCATGCACCTGCATTCATACATAGTGGCAAGTAACCAAAGTTAGTGTTTAACTGCAGTTCTCAGTATAAGAAGGGAAGGGGAGGAATAAGGCATGTACATGAGGCAAGCAATAAGCTGAGTTTGTGCACATTTTTCCTCAACACAAGTGATGTCTGATTGCATCCTTAGCATGTTAAATCAATGCCACAGATGGAAAAGGTGTGACAACTGATGGGTGTTGGGAGGAAAAATACTGAAATCCATATTCTTTAGCCCTGAACAGTGGACTCAGGAGTAGGTGATTCTGCCATCAGATCAGGGTTGTGTAGAAGCAGCATTTTTATGAACTGGTGCTGCCACATGGGTGGTGTATATTTAGCTGCCCCAACTTTGGCTATGGTGGCTGCCCAGGAAAGTGCTGTCTCATCATGAAAATCAATGTGGCTGCATTTTTGTCACAGATGGGGAAGCAGTAATTCAAACAAACAGCATTTCCTTGTGAGGCCAGCCCAGCTATCAGCTGTGTATGAAACACTCTTAGCTTTCATGTGAAGACTCTAGGAAGTGGCACGTTGATCAGAGTGGGACAACTGGTGATAACATATGAACTAGATGCAAGTTGCACCAACTTCTCATGCTGTTTTCAGTGACAGGACATATAAAATATTCCCTATATTAAGCACTGAAAATGTTAGTACCTTTATCAGATCAGATATTTTTAACTGCCCCTAACAAATTCAGATAACATAGGGAAACTAGTTTAACATGCAAGTAGCAAGACTAATAGCCGTTTCCCCTTACCGGTATTATGCATGAATACTTGGAAGACAGTCTTCCACTCTGTTTGGCTTGCAGAGTTTTAGGATACGAATGTGTTTAACTGCAGGAGAGTACATTTGCATGACAGTGATTGTGATGCTATCTTAGGACTTAATTTCCAGAGTGGGGTGCTAAGCAAAGAAATGTGTAGGTTTATGTAAGATACAGATAATGCATAATAGAATTATCTGCAAGGGAAAGAAAGGGTGCAGGGGGTCCTTCGTCTATTGAGAGGGAACACAGTCCTTAGGCTAACTGACTATGCCAAGAAGTTAAGACACGGCAGATTATTAGTAACTTTACTCCTGCCTGAAAGACTAAGAGTTCTTTAACCTGCTACATTTTGTTTTTCTTACAGACCATTTGAAAGGAGAGATAACCCAGAGGCACATGCAGAAAGCAGCTCAAGGTAAGTGTTTTGCAGGCCTTTCTAGACAATTTTTTTCTTCCACATAAGTAAGTAGTGGCTTATTTTGCACAGCCAGCCATGTTCCCCTTCCCTGTTTCTCACAGTACTGAATACATGGTCTTCATGTTGTTCAAGAGTTGCACAGCAGAGTATTTATTGGAGCTGCCTTGATAACCATAAAGTGATCAAGACATTTATGAAGGAAAACTGCTTGGTAGCAAGCCTAATCAGGGCTGTGCAGAAATCCAAATACATAATGAAACATATCATTTCAATGTGAAATCTTGGTGATAACATTTTCCAGCTGCCTCTTTTATTTAAAACTCTTCTCTTTATAGAGATACTTCTCTTAGATGTTGACTAATGATCTGTTTTCCCTGATGGACCGACTTCGGATGCGGAGTTCTCATTTAAGGACTTTCATACTTTATTCATTTCTTGGAACTGACTCACACAATTGCCTTTTCTTGCATGGACAGAGAATTACTGATTAGATTCATGTTAGCCATTGCCAGTAGTGCTGGGACAAATTACCAAAAGTGCACCGCAGTGGACAAGGTATATTGTGATACCATGGCCCCATTCTCAGGAGCAAGGTGCAGGACCAAACTGCAGATTGTATCACAGTTTGTACAGGAAGGTTTCTATACCACTGCTGTAAATAATTATTCTACCTAATTTGTGAGCATGACTAGTGTCATTTCTCTGGCACAATACTCCTAGTATTGGGTTGGAATTAGGCCTTCACTCACAGTTACTTCCTGGGCCTTGTGCAAAGATGGCAAACAGATGTGGAGAACTAATATGACATTTTAGCAGAGCTAGTTAACTGCCCAAGTGATCCAAATATTCACTTAGAATACTACAAAGAGAAGAGGATGCCTACATAGGAGGAGGTCTTATATCTGGGCCTTGGTCCAGAGTTGTGGAGCCTAGCAATGTAATATAACTACCCCAGACTAGGCTTGCCAGCCCCCAGGTCCAGGTGGGGGGTCCCCCACTTTTAGGGGCTTCTCCCTGCTGTGGACCAGCTAGCCGGTGGGGGAAACCCCGCCCCTAAACAGAGGCATTGCTGTGTGATGTACCCAGCACAATGGTGTCATCTGGAAGTGACATCATCAGGTCGGGGATGTCATGCAGGGACTCTCTGGTATTTGGGTAAACTCTGTGGTTCCAGGATCTCTGCCAAATGACATCAGGGCCCTGCAGGACCTCATGCAATTCCACCAGGCCTTTGGTTGAGGACAGCAATGGTTGGTTACACTGGCTGGCACCTTTCCCCTTTTCCCTCTCCTCCCTATCTATCTATCTATCTATCTATCTATCTATCTATCTATTGATCAATCTCTATTTTGTTTAAGTCTCCTCCCCTCCTACCAAATAGCCAGGTAGTCCAGAATGGGTGCAGGACACCATAAATTGCCATCTGGGATTTTATATTCTGTATATATTTGTATTCTGTTTTATGGCAATTTGCCTTTGTTTGTACATCACCCAGAGCCCAGCATAAGCTGGACATCCCCAATGTGGTGACTTCATCGTGTTGGGGACATTGCGCGATGTCCCTGCCCACCACCAGAACAACCCCCAAATCCCCTTGCTGGAGCAACAAGGGGATCTGGCAACCCTATCCTTAGATTGCCTTTAAGATATTGGATACTTTGGGGGTTATTTTTCCCCCATCAAGTTGCAGCTGACGGTGACCAATGTTCCCTCTAAGCTGTGGAGTCTTATGAGCAAAGATTCTACTTTGTGAGCCACTGGCATTAAAGTTGTGAGCGAGCGATTCGGCTGCTGCATAGATTAGTTTGCTCTGGAGCCATCCTTCTTGACCAAAGACAAAAATGTGTGAGCCGGAGGCTAAAAAACTGTGAGCTAGCTCACACTAACTCAGCTTAGAGGGAACACTGATGGTGACCACTTAGGGTTTTTCAGGGCAAGAGACATTCAGGGGTGTTTGCCATTGGCTGCTTCTGTGTGACAACCCTGGTATTCCTTGGTGGTCTCCCATCCAAACACTGACCAGGGCCAGCCCTGCTTAGGTTCTGAGATCTGACGAGATCAAGCTATCCTGGGCCATCCCTGGTTAGGGTTTTTGGGGAATATAGGGAATTATAATTCCACTACCTCTAGTCCATGCTGTTAAGTGCTGATCACCAGGAGGCAGAACAGGTAAGATGCCTACTTTCTGTGACAACTCTACCTCACCCCCTTCACATAATTAAAGCAACAAGAAATTAAGAAGCAAAGGAAGAAAAAATAGAAAAGGGGTATGCAAAGAGTGAGAAAACGGAAATAAGTCCCACTGACATTAGGAGAATTTACTTCTTTATTGCCACCATATTATGGCAGTTAGTTCCATAAGTTAATTCTCTGTGAAGTGTTTCTGAATCTACTGCCAGTCAACTTCATTAGGCGATCCCTAATCCTGACTCAACATCCCACATTACAGTATATGTGCAATCTGCAGATTATACTCACGTATATGCCTAAATGGCTTCCTTTAGCAGCTGTGGAGTACAGATGGCTCCATGCTGCAACTTGTAGTTCACTGCTTTCCATTCACCTCTGTGACTGGGATTTCCAGTCCCGCTACTGAAAATCCTGCTGTCACAATGATACCAGGTGTTTTCATAATGCCTCAGAAAATTTATGTTGCTGCGTTTCCAAGCACTGCTGATATGCACAGTGTTGGAAATGGCTGTAGCAAGTCTGAACGCGGCTTTTTTAATGACCACTTACTGCTGAGGAGCTAGGTGTAGAGTGCAGGTTATTATTTACCTGTGCCAGGGCTGGAGAGAGAATGGGGAGGGTAGATCTCAGAATAGTAGCTGCACTTCCTTGTACCTCCATAGTGATTACTGAGAGGCAAAAGGGTAATAGAGCATTTCAATTCCAGCAGTATGTGGTATAAACATTACTTATTGTATTTATTTGTTTGTTTACATCATTTATAGTCTGGTTTTCTCACTGAGACTCAAGGCAGATTACACATTGTGAGTCTAATATAGTCAACAGGATGGGACATCCAATAAACAAGGCAATAAAGTTTGAACTGCAGAAAACTGGAGGAGCTGAAACAAAGCATAAACATTAACACGACATGTTAAATGATGAAGAAATTACATAGCAGGATCATACTTAAAATAACAGGCAGTAAGTCCCCCCGTCCCCCCAATTGTGCCTCTTGAAATTTCAGGTGGGATCCAAGTCTATATTTTTACCCTGGACATAGAATGATGAACAGAGCTGATGCTATTTGAGGGTTGCTGTCTTTCCGTAGTGCTAATGCAGTCTGTTCAGTTTTTTGTTGGGGGAGTGCAGAGATCTGATGAACAATATGCAACAAAAGGTGAGTATTATACCCTGAAACAGGTTGCAAGTCAACAGATGAAACCAGTGATTACCATACCATGACTGAAAATTTAACAGGAACTGAATTTCTCTCTGTAGTTCAGATCTTTAACCATGTTGCAGTGTTATAGAACAATGTGATATTTTGAATAGTTGTGTTTCAGATTTGAAAGCAATAGCCACCCATTGCTGCCTATGGTTGAGCTGAGAATTCACAACTATCATACTAACAGACATGTTTTTGACTCGCTTTCTAGAGTGACCTCTAGTGGCATCTCAGTCTTTTCTTTCATCTATAGTTAGGGAGAAATTAATTCCCCCCCAATATTTCCATGCGCTCAGAGCAGAACAATTGGCATTGCTTAGACTTGAGGGTTTATTTTTGGAATTTTAGAGCTAAAAGGAGGTTGATCAGATGATGTTTGTTTAGAGAGTATATTTTCCACTAATCATAGAACAAGGTTTTGGTACCAACTTTGGCTGAATCTCAAAAACATTCCAGAAATATTTGCCTTGGGGTGAGGGATTTGAATTTCTCTTGGCTGATTTAAATCTTTTGGGGTTCACATTTCTTCAGTGTTACAGAAAATGAGTTTATTGGCCAGGAATCTGCAAAACAGCAATATAAGCAAAAATAAATGGGCATAGAAAGTGAATTTTATTCATTAAAATTATTGCTTTTGTATCAAGCCTGAGATTGGAAACATTTTTTCATGAGGCAGAGAAACAATAACATATGTTAATATGTCCTGGCAAAAGTAGACAAATATCTTAAATACCAGTTTCAGTTAGTTGCAAATAACTGTGTGGGTGATTCCCCCCCCCCCCGAAGCAAGCATATTATCATATCAGTTTTGATAGCATGAATAAATCTGAGAAAGCTGATATTTTTTGCAGCATATTACATGAAAGGATAACAAATTCTGTTACCTCTTTACAGATGTTCACAGTGCAGTCCTAAGGAGTAAGCACCATTGAGTAGACTTGAATAGGATTTGGAGTAAGAACATAAGAGAAGCCAATTTTGGATCAGGCCAATGGCCCATTCAGTCCAACACTCTGTCACACAGCGGCAAAAATATCAGGTGCCATCAGGAGGTACACCAGTGGGGCCAGGACACTACAAGCCCTCCCACTGTTGACCCCCCCCCCCCAAGCACCAAGAATACAGTGCATCACTTGCCCCAGTCCGAGAGTTCCTATCTATACCTTGTGGCTAATAGCCACTGATGGACCTCTGCTCCATACATTTATCCAGTTCCCTCTTGAAGCTGTCCATGCTTGTAGCCGCCACCACCTCCTGTGGCAGTGAATTCCATGTGTTAATCACTCTTTGGGTGAAGAAGTACTTCCTTTTATCCATTCTAACCTGATTGCTCAGCAATTTTGGTGAGTGCCGACGAGTTCTTGTATTGTGAGAAAGGGAGAAAAGTACTTCTTTCTCTACCTGCTCTATCCCATGCATAATCTTGTATACCAGCGTAATACTGCAATTGTTTTAATCAGTAACTGTCTATGTCCAGTAAAAACATTGTATTAACACAAGTAGTTGCTGAGCTTTACAGTATTTTAGGAATATAATATTTTAGAAATATAGTAGGTACTCTAACTTCTGAAGAGTGTCCTGACTATTGCTGCATTCTCAA